GGGATTTTTGTTCCAGCAGCACAAGGCAAACAACCCAACACGTGATAGATGACAACAGCCCAGGATCCCATGGAGGATTTTGCTACTGGAACACAACACAGCATTATGTGAAAAACCAGGAGTTGTTCCAAAGGAATTTGATTTCTGAGGGACGAATCTTTACTGAATTACAAAAACCAACCACAGCCTTGATTTTGCTACTGGAACACAATACAGCATTAAGGAAAAAAACAAGGGAGTTGCTCCAAGGGAAATCTGATTTCTGAGGGACGAATCTTTACTGAATTACAAAAACCAACCACAGCCTTCATTTTGCTACTGGAACACAATACAGCATTAAGCAAAAAAACAAGGGAGTTGTTCCAAGGGAAATCTGATTTTTGAGGGACGAATCTTTACTGAGTTACAAAATCCAACCAGGTCCTTGAGGTGGCACCCCCGTGGCTGCTCAGTGCCAGCCTGGTGGCACCAATCCCTGGGCACCCCAGCCTCCTGTTTGCCCTGCAGTGATGCAGCCCCTTATCAGTGGCAGAGGGGAGAGGCTTTGATAAGGCAGCAGGAGCTGGTGGGAGCAGCTGGGCTGAGGCTCAGAAATGTTTGCTCAGGTGGAGCTGCCCGCAGTGGGAGGCTGGAGCAGGGCCTGTCCTTACCCTCCCAGGGCAATTCAGAGCAATTGCAGCCATGATATTTTGTGGAAAAATCCTTTCTTTAGGGTTTTTCCTCCTGAGAGGCCTCAGGAACAAAATGCCAGCAATGGTTATCTGCTGCTGTGGGATGCAACAGGTGCATCTGTGATTGGTGTCATGTGGTTGTTTCTAATTAATGGCCAATCACAGTCAGCTGGCTGGGACTCTGCATTTTTTTCCCCCAGTCTGTGGCTCAGACAAAGAGCAGATTTAGTGGGACAAGCAGTAAAGGAGCTGTATCTCTTCCATTCTATTCCCTGTCATTCCTGCTCCCTAGACTTCATAGCTATAATGGCAGTCTTGATGACTTGATAAGTCTTGATGACTTGATAAGTCTTGATGATACTCTTTTCTGCAAGCCAAAACCAAATTCTTCTTATTACAAAAACACACATAATTTTTATGGCTAATTAAATTTTTTTATTCATTCCTTCTTTTTTCTATTCTTAGCCAGCTTTCTGATGAAATCCTTTCTTCTATTCTTTCAGTATAGTTTTAATATAATATATATCATAAAATAACCAATCAGCCTTCTGAAACACGGAGTCAGATCCTCATCTCTTCCCTCATCCTTGGACCACTGTGAAAAGTGTCACAAAGAATGGGAAAGCTCTGACTCCATTCCAGGCAAGGGGATTTAGAAAAAGCTCTGTGCTCTGTGTTCAGCTCCTCAGGGGTACAGGCTGAGCTGAGAATCCAGGGCAAAAACCAGAGTTTTGATCACTCCCATGGAAAGATTTGATTTTACTGAAGTCCTTCCATTTTCCAGTGTAAAACATGCTGCATCCTGAGTTAACCCCACAGCAGGAGCTGCTGCTGCTTTGGAAAACATGAGGGAGAAACCACCCCAAAGTGGACAGAACTTGGGATAAATTAATTCAGTTTCATCTTTCTGCAAGGTTATGTTGAGAACTCAAAGCCAAAACTTCACATCATAATCCAAACAGATGACACTCCCTAAAATTTAAGGCTGTAATTTGGGTTTAAAAGCGTTTTAAGAAAAATCTCTTGCAAAATATACAGAGCAGCAGGAAGTTTTTAACAACTCACCCAAAAAGCAATTTGCAGCCAAAAAGCCAACAATTTATGACATTTAAAGGGATGGTTTCATGCTGCATTGTGGGGCTGCAGGATTTCCTTTAGTCCCACACAGTTTTCAAACCAAAGCAAATCCACCTTTTAGGCTGCACTGGTGTCACCATGAGGGAGAAGCTGCTCACAGGGAGGGCTCCAGTGACAC